GTTCCCCGAACCGTCTTCCCTGTGTGTTTCTCCAGTGAGAGAGTCATAGCACACGGTTGGGGTAGTGGTGGCTGCACCCCCTAGGATCGCATGCAGCTCCGCGTAGAAGCGGCAAGTTTGCGGCTCTGCCCCGGACCTTCCGTTTGCTTCTCTGGCTTTGTGGTAAGCTTGCCGTAGCTCCTTAATTTTCACGCGGCACTGCTGTGTGTCCCTGTTATGGCCTCGGTCCTTCATGGCCTTGGAGATCTTTTCTAATACTTTGCCATTTCTTTTACTTCTACGGAGTTCAGCTATCACTGCTTCATCTCCCCATATGGCGAGCAGATCCCGTACCTCCCGTTCGGTCCATGCTGGAGCTCTTTTGCGATCCTGGGACTCCATCATGGTTACCTGTGCTTATGAGCTCTGCGTGGTCACCTGTGCTCTCCACGCTGAGCAAACAGGAAATGAAATTCAAACGTTCACGGGTCTTTTCCTGTCTACCTGGTCAGTGCATCTGAGTTGAGAGTGCTGTCCAGAGCGGTCACAATGAAGCACTATGGGATAGCTCCCGGAGGCCAATAACGTCGAATTCCGTCCACACTACCCCAATTCCGACCCGCAAAGGCCGGTTTTATCGCTAATCCCCTCGTCAGAGGTGGTGTAAAGAAACCGGTTTAAAGGACCCTTTAAGTCGAAAGAAAGGGCTTCGTCGTGTGGACGTGTCCAGGCTTAATTCGATTTAGCGCTGCTAAAGTCGACCTAAACCCGTAGTGTAGACCAGGCCTAAGAGCCAGTTCTTCTCCCTTTGCCCTCCAAGGAGAGACTCAGCTCCTCGCTGCCCTGCAGCATTCTTATAGGGCCCAGCCTGGCCCTGATAGGCTGCTTTCAAGACTCCATTTAATTGGCTCCTAATAAGCCATTCCATGATTGGCTGGGGCTCCATGCAGCCTCTCTGGCATGCTTGAACTCCTTCCATGCCAGAGTGAGGCAGCTGCCCCACTACACAGTGTCTAACTGCATCAGAAAAGTTAGCCAGGATGAAGCTGGAAGATTGGCAGCTGCTGGTAGAGGACCTTTGGGGTTTTGGCACCTGGGTTGGCAGTTTGGATTGAGGGATAAGAAAATTAGCTGGAAGTGTGTGCTAAAATGATCAGCAGTGAAATAGTGAACTCCACTGATACAGGAATTGTCTCCTTTGGGCTTTGGTGTTAACAGCACAAGAAATTGAAAGCAAATGGGCAGATCTCTCCTCTCAGGAAGCTGCAGAGTCAGGAAATCACTGCTACATCAGCATAACAGGCTTGCTCTTGGGCTCACAGGAAACCACTTCTTCTGGGCCCCCATTTTGAAGACAAAAATGTTTTTTATTTAGTTGTCATCCCCATTAGACAGGGCATCACCTACGGCAGACATACTCAGCAACAAGTCAGTCACTGGTAGCAAATCCAAACAATCTCACATTGGGCCTAACTTCCCTTCCCTCCGAGAGGCTCTGAAAGGCAGCAGTCTTTAAGCAGTTCCTGGCCCAAGCAGCTCACACTCCGTGGGAAGTCTGCAAGATCAGCTCTCCCTCCCAGCCAGCTGCCATCTGAATCAGGCTCCCTCCTTTTAAGCCTTCTCAGAGCCTGCACCTATTTCAGGTGTAGTGAGGTGGGGCTAACTGAGCTCATGTAAGCTGGTTAACTCTTTCTTGGCCAGTGTGGGGTTTCTAGACCCCATCACAATCAGTTTTATACTCATTTCACATTTTCAAGACTTTGTTTACATCCATAATGGCTAAAAACACTTTAAAATGAAACTTAAGCTTCTAGAGCACAAATCTGAATTCCACAGAAAATCCTATGACCATGGAGTCACAGTAGAGCTGGTCAGAAATTTTCTAATGGAACATTTTTCCATAAGAAAATACCAATTTGTCCAAACTGAAACGTTCCATGGGAACATATTGATTTCAATGAAATTCCAATGAAACTGGGCAGATTTCTGACAGAACCCTACCTCCTCGACCGGGTTTCATTGGAAACCTGTCTGGTTTCCTGCCAGCTCGTCTGCCCAGCTCCTGGCAGCCCACCATGGAATAGGAACTCTAGTTTGCAGCCAACTCTAATATGCAGGCATGAGCCAGGAACCTCTTAGTACCAACTAGCATCATGAAAAAGCGGTCTCAACCAGGCTTGATTGAAAACACTGGAGAGAACTTCAGGTGAAATAAGCTTATTTCGACAGGAGGTTAACTTGTTAACGAAGTTGAGTCTCTAAAAAGCGTGTTATGATTTTGTTCTGTATGTAATCATTGGTTTCCAATATCTATTCTTTGATAATAAACTTATTCTTGTTTACACTATAAATATACCTAAGTGCTGAGGGGTTAAGCAAAGTGGTGATCCTGAGTTGAATCCTACAAGCTGGAATGTACGGTTCCTTTGGGAACAGCGGGCCTGGTAATCCTGTGATCCAGGGGAAGCGGCTGGATCAGGGAATGCTCCAAGAATTCGGGGGTTGGAGTGTGCCTATAACTACCTATACAGAGGGAGCAAAGCCTGTGGAGGCCTGGAAAGTAGTGTTTGTGTGGCTAGATGCTGGTGATTTCAGGGAGCTGATCCACAACAGGAACAGACCAGATTTCTTCACACAGAAGGCAGCAAGGGCCAGAGGTGATGATGGGATGGATGCAGGGCTGGGAGAGGCAGAGGGGCCCAGGGCAATGATGGGGATGGATGCAGGGCCAGGAAGGCAGCAGGGTCCTGGGGAGTGGGGGATGGATACAGGGCCGTGGGGGCTCAGTGCCCGCGGCCAGTAACCAGAGCTGGATGCCAGAGCTCAGGCCGGCATGGCTGGAGTCAGCACCCGCCGCTGCGTGGCTGGAGCCAGCACTTGCTGCTGCGCAGCCAGGGTCAGGGGTTGGCACTCGGGGCCAGCGTTCGCCACCGCTCCTGCAGTGTTTTGCCCCATCTCTCTACCGAAGCAGTGCAGGGTGGCGCATCCAGGAGCAACAAGGAGGGAGGGGAAGGGGCTGATGCTTTGCCCCACCCCTTCACCATCCAGGAGGATGTCCTGGCCGCATTTGAGAAACGTTGGTTTAGGGAGAATGGTGTGGAAGATTTATAAAATCCTTATGTTTCAGGACATAAGCCAACAACTACTGCTGGGAGATAGAAAGGAACTTTCTCCATGGGCAGGTTATTCAATAGCTGCCTTTGCAGGTTTCTTGCACCTTCTCCTGAAGGAGCTGGTACCGGCCCCACTCAGAGACAGGATAATGGATGAGATAGATGACTATTCTGATCCAGTATGGCAGTTCCTTTGCCCTTATGTTCCTAAGGAAAAATCACATGCAAAGAATAATGAAAACTAAATCCTTATGTTGTACTTGGAAAATAATAAGCACACTATATAAAACATACAGATTTGGTTGGGTGTCCTGTGCAAAGGGATCTGTGATCTTAGACTAGTTCTTACTGGATGAGGCAGACAGACAGACAAGTCAATAGAAGAAAAAAGGGAGAACTTCAGATGCAATCTAAATTTTGCTTGTTTCATCCTAAAACAGCACTATCAGTTTTTGTTCTCCACCACAAAGCTGTACTGATGACCAGAAAGTATTTCACAATCGATTGATAAGATTATATCTCTAGACACTTTCAGATAGTGTGTCATGTTGGTATTGACTCACTTTTTGCATACAAATACCACTTTTTGAAATTTCACTGTATTTCCTTTGCAGCTCACTTCAGAGACACTTGGCAAGTATTTGCAAGCATCTCAACTCACCATCCAACTGTGGGCAGCAGACATTTAAAAACCAGCAAGCGCTCCAGATTCGCAGCAATGAGCAACATGACAACGGATGGAGTTGCCACAGTTGCAGTGATTTTTGCTCTTGTGGTTGGTGTGGAGATTGTCATAGGACTTGTTGGAAATGGCATTGCTTTGGGCATCTTTTGCTCCTACAGGAATCTCTGGTCATCAAGCACCGTGTATTTATTCAGCTTGATCATTGCTGATTTCTTCCTGATAATCAACTTGCCATTTCGTATCCACTACTACACGCATAATGAAGTCTGGGTCTTCACAGAGACATTGTGCGGGGTCAACCTATTCATGTTGTCAGTGAACAGGACAGCAAGCATTGTATTTCTCACTGCCATTGCAATGGATCGCTACTTCAAAGTGGTTCATCCTCACCACCAACTGAGTAAAATATCAACATCCTGTGCTGCAAAAGTAGCAATTGCACTTTGGATCATAGTTATACTGATGAATGGCCATGTCTTTACCTTGGATTATAGTCAGAGTAAGAACAGTTCATGTCAAAGTTATAACCCTCGTTTTGAACCACGAGCAGCAGCCACGTGGCATGCAATATTATTTTTTCTTGAATTTTTTCTGCCTTTAGGCATCATCATGTTCTGTATTTTCAACATTATCTTGAAGCTAAAGCAGAGGAAATTGGCTAAAAGGAACAAGGTCCAAAGATCTGTGAAAGTGCTGATAGTCATTGTTTTGGTATATATCGTCTGCTTCTTGCCTAGTATTTTAATTGCTACAGTTGGGGTGGTTATTATAAAAGTGGCCTCTAAACATATTGGCACTGTTGGCAAGTTATTACATGCCTCATTTGCCTTTACATACCTAAACAGTGCACTTGATCCAGTTCTGTATTGCTTTTCAAGCCAAGTATTCCTAAATAGATGCAAGAAAGTGCTTTCCCAGGCTGGATGGTTTAAAACTTCTCTGACAGAAGGAACCAATGAAAGGTCATCAAGATCTTCTGAACAAAGAATGAAGACCCTCGAATCATCAACAGTAAGGAAATAGAGTAAGTACATGAGCCTAGGCTTGCTCTACTACAGCCAATATTTGCACAATAAGAGGATGTTTTCCTAAAATTGGTTGAATAATAGTCTCCATAGAAATTGAGCAAGATCTACAATGCCTGGCCTGTGTTTAGGAGTAGCTTTGAGTGCACAACATTCCCAATGACTTCAAGGGGAACGACTCCTCTGAAATTAGGCAGCATGTATATAGCACGTGGACTGAAGACAGTTAAATGGGCTGAGTACCGTTTCCATGATCTAGTGGTACGAGTATGGGGATAGAGTTATGAATTCTTGGTTATATTCCTGGTTCTGCATCTAACTGTATGACTTGGCAAGTCATGTGGACTAAAATTTTTGAACTCTGTGTTTAGGCACCTAAATAGGGTGTTTCATTTTCTGGGGTATGGAGTGTCCTTAATTCCCTCTGAAATCAATGGAAGTGATAGGTGCTCAGATCTCTGAAGATCAGGCCATTTATTTAGGTGACTTACTTTAGGCAAGCCAATTTGAAAGTGTTGCCTTTAAGTTCTCTGTACCTCAGTTCCCCATATGTAAAATGGAGAATACTACTACTTTCTTACTTCACATGGGTGCTGTGAGGTATTTGACATTTTCCAGAGAAAAGTGCTACAATATTTTAATGTATAATCGTGGTAGCAGTAGTCTAATTGCATATGTTGGTCCAGATTCCCATCTCAGTTATATTCATCATCATCATCAGTTCTCTGCCATAGCTCTGCATGGTCCTTTATAGAGACTTTTTAAAAAGACCCGAGGCCAAATTTTCAAAAGTGCTCAGCAACCACAAATGAGGCCAAATTTTCAAGAGAGCTCAACTCCCATTTAGGCACCAGAATAAATGAACAGGTTTTCACCAGTTCTGGGTGCTCAGCTCTATTGAAAAATCTGTCCAGAAGCATCAAAATGGGAGTTGCTGGGAGCTGAGCACTTTTCAAAATCTGACCCATAGTCTCTGCCCCAATGAGTTTACAACCTAAGTGAGCCAAACCTAGACATATGGCGTGAACTCCTGGTCCCAGCAAAACCAATGGGAGTTTTGCAATTGATGTCAAGGGAGCCAGAATGTCATCCATGAAATGGAAACAAGTGATGAAAATCAAGGTGTAAGAAGCTCTTTGAATTAGCAGTGTTTAAGACACTTGGCACGCAAAAAAGTAGTGTCCTTCCAGACGTAGGCCTTGGCTACACTGGCGCTGTACGGTGCTGCAACGTGCTGCGCTCAGGGGTGTGAAAACGCGGCAGCGCTGTGAATCCCCAAGTGTAGCCAAGGCCATAGGGAGCAGTGTGAAAACAGGCACTGGGGCAGGAATGGAAAGAGGAGACATAGCAGCAAGGTAAGAGGAGTGAGCAGTGCACAAGGTGGGAGGTGTGGAGCAATGTGCAAGGAAACGGGAGCAGAGCTGTGGAGTCCATAGAGCTACTCCAGATTGACACCAGTGTGATAAGATCAGAAACTGGTCTATCATTTTCATGAGGAAAATTTTACATGGTTATAGAAGTAAAAGAAGACAATCATATCCCCTTGGTAATCACTAACCTAGCCAAAATTTCCAAAGAGATAGTAGGGGAGAAATGCAAATGCCTTTGATGAAAGCCAAGTAACGAAACCCCTGTTGGACTCTAAATATTTGGGGATAGAACTAAGAAGTTCTATATGCCACCTAGATTGTGAGTAAGTGCCTAGATCACAGTCCATTGTTTGCATGATAATTTACACTTACGAAAATATTTGTAAATAGAAAGGCCTGTTTCTGTTAGAAGCATATGCTATGCCGTGAGTTATCGTTTTCTTTGGGACATAATGGAGAGCTGTGAATGTGATTTTTATTGGCATTCCTAACATACCCAGTGATAGCTTCAAAATGTTTTCCTCAGTCAGCAGTCAGTGCCTAACTCAGAGGCTGGGGTTTTATTTTGAATAATTGTTTACTCTCCAGGGCATTCTTGTAATATTCTGTGAGGAGGGAGGTGGGTTAACATCAGTTTCCACAGATGGTCATTTTAAAGGATGTTGCGCCACTAGATCACAAACTTTCAGAACACAGTGTTCTGAAAGTTTACCTGGAAATAAGCATGTTTTAGCCTGCATAAATAGTAAATTGCTGCTTTCTTTTTGTTCTAACTTTGTATATTATAGAGTGGTATTCAGATACAATTATAGCATCAGTGGTGGATTAGCCACTGGGCCCAGGGGCCCCAGAAAAATGGGCACCCCCGTGCCCTGACCTGCTCCTCCTGCCCAGTCCCCCCCCCACCAGTGCTCCTGCTGGGGAGCGGAGTTGGGGCATGGGGGCTTACCCTGTTACCTCTGCCTGCCCGGTGCTCCTATTGGGGTGTGGGGCAAGCCCCCGCACCCCAACCCAGCTCCCTGACAGGAGTGCTGGGCGGGGGGGTCAGGGCAAGCCCCCACACTCCTACAATATTTCCCCAGTAGGAGTGCTAGGGTGGGAGTGGGGGGACTGCAGGCGGGTGGGCCCTCACTTGCTCTGGCCAAGGGCCCCACAAAACCCTAATTTGCCTCTGCATAGCATGATTGTTTATACTCATTCTGTGAATTCCTTTGATATGTTTTGGGGGGGAACATTCAAAGCTGTTAAGAACTGCTCTCTGCTCCTCACCATTAACTCACTGTCAAAATGTATTTATGTCTTTACAATGATAGCTGAAAAAAGAGACTGCTCTATTTGCCAAGTAGATCCAGAAGAAGACACCTAACTTCTTCTCCCCAGAACCACCATTTAAGCCATGGCCTAGTCTCCACCAACTTGGCACCAGCGCGTAGCAGACTTGAAAACAATTCTCGAGAGTTTCAGGAGAGTTACCAAAGAAAGCCTGCTGAGATATACTGCAGGCAAGAAGTGGAAGGCTGGTGCAGACCAGGACTAGATCAGTCTATATTAACTCCTGTATGCGCCAGAGGCTTCTTAGCCAAAATCATTCTAAATCGTTTTTCATGGAATAGGTTATTTCATCATGTAAATAAATATATTTGTCTCTTGAGCTATATATAATTTTGTAATTTAAAATTCACTCAAGTTATTTAGTATGAAGTGGGTTTTTGTTGCATAAAGGTCCTAACGTCTCAAATCCTCCCTTTGATGCACATTCCCAATGAAGTCAATGAGAAGAGGCATCTGTGCATTTTAGGATTTGATTTTAGGATTTGATGGACTTGATTTTCCACTACCTTGCACCTTGTGTTATTATTTGTGCCTACACAAAGTGGGTATAAAATGCTACCATGAGAGCTGATCAATAAATGAGGAAATTTTTCATGAACATTTTTGCAAATATTTGTTCCTTTTTTCATTAAAAAAAAAATCACCTTTCCCTCATTCCTATCATTCTGCTTTGAAAGCGTTTGACAATCACTTAGCAATCTTTTGAGCCAAGGGTCAATGACAAGACCAGGTACAAGGCAGGGGAGAATCAGGCTCTTTCTCTACATAGTAAGGACAAAGACACTGAAGTGATTGTCAGCTCTCCGAATTACCTGAGTGAGAGAAGGAATGGTGGGATGCAGGCTTAGTAAATGCAATATTTGGCCAAATCCTACTTTCAGCTGCACTAGTACAAGGCCACTGACTTCCACACAGGGCCGGCTCTAACTTTTTTGCTGCCCCGCCGAGTCCCCCTCCCCCGCTGAGCGCCGCCGGAACCCCCCCACGAGCACCACGCCCCATAGCCGCCCCCCCGCCGAGTCCCCCTCCCCCGCTGAGCGCCGCCGGAACCCCCCCACGAGCACCACGCCCCATGCCGCCCCCCCGCCGAGTCCCCCTCCCCCGCTGAGCGCCGCCGGAACCCCCCCACGAGCACCACGCCCCATG